TTTTTGACAACACAGAGTTCGGTACTCCTCACCCTCACATTAGTCAAATGCCAATTGTATATAGTTAACTTTTAAAAGTCTACATTTTGCTATTCTTGTTCATATATACACCCAAAACACAGCTATCTATTTATTTTACATTGCCATTTTGAGGGAATATATTTGTAGAAACATTTAAATCTATGTACTTGTACATCAATTATTTTTTACCTCCATATAAACATAAACATATGTATTGAATAGCATTTATCTAAAATGTATAGTGCATATTTTTTTGTGGTTGTGAGATTTAATATAATATCTATTTGTTTTGTTTTGTGTCTTGTATTTTTTTCAAGTGCTTAAATTACCTATGATGAGCATGTATAATTTTTCCAATTTTTTCAAAACAAAAATCAAATATATCAAAAGTGAGAGAGATGTGCATTTGGTAACTGAACTAATTGGATATTAGAGTTGTTTTATTTATTTTATTTTTATTTTTATTTATTTTATTTTTTTATTGTTCAAATACATTTGTCTCCACCTTCCCGCCACCACTTTCCCCTTCCCACCTCCCCCACCTCCCTCCCTCAAGCCTTTCCCACTTTATTTTGTCCATGGGTCCTTCTTACTAGTTCCTTGACTTGACCCTTCCCTTCCCTTTCCCTGCACCCCCACTTCTTCCCTCTTGTCTCTGTTGGTTTCTGTTTCCTTTCAATGTTCCTGGTTATATTTTCCTTGCTTGTTCGTTTTGTTTGTTAGGTTCTACTTATAGGTGAGATCATATGGTATTTGTCAGAGTTGTTTTAAAATAATTTATGTAAGCAATCACTTTTGTGAAGCTGTAATTACCCAAAGACAATTTTGGTCATGTATGACATAAAGTGATGAGCTCTTCTAGTTACCAGTGACCAGATAACGATGCCTTATGAGATTACTCAATATAGATTAAGTTCATAATGGACCATGGTGAAGATATCAAAGTTGTCTTGCTTTCAATAGTTGTAACTTGGGTTGTTTTAATAATTTGTCAAATACCATCTTTCTATAATCTTTAAGGCCTTTTAGGGGTCATATATCTAATCTTCATAAACATTGAAGAATCAGAACACATCTTGTCCGAAAAGGTGTGCCCTGACAGCAGATAGCTTGCATCTGCTCCTGCTTAATGCAGGATCATGCTCTTAACATATGTAAAACTTACAAGCTAGCTACAAAAATGAAAACACAAATGTAGTAAAAAGTATGTTTTTATTTTCCAGTATGCTTCATTAAAAAAGATACAGTTTTATTAGTAGTACATTAATAACCTTAACAAAGTGACAAGTTTTTGTCACAGATATTAATTTATATTTTACAAACATTCACCAAAACAATTAAAAATGAAATAAATACATTTACATGTTATATTTCTGGTATTTCTCATTTTATTTTAATATTTATAAAATATATAATATTTATAATATTTTATTTATCTTTGAGAGAAACTTCAAGTGTGCAAATAAGTGAATTATGATTTTAAAATATTAAGGAATAAGAATAAATCATAAATAACAGTTTTAGAGGAATGAATAAAGGAATTATTTAAGGAGAATTCATGGTATAGCAGTATTGAGTGGCAAAATGTTTGTTATTAATATCAGAACATCTACACTTACCTTTAAAAGTAAAGCACAAGGTTGTCCTTGTGCATTTAAAGCTTCTCCACACTGCTGATTTCTAGCAGTAATTCTAAATAATTTTTAAATTAGTACTTTTTACAATAACAAATCAAAATTCTCTCAAAGCTAGCATTCCACGTAGACAAAAGTTTATGAATAAACTTTGCTGTAGATGAGGGAGATGACGATTTACAAACTAATGTTTTCTCTGCTTACATGGTTAATATGGGCTTGACATTTATTTTCAAGTGATTACTTTTCTACTTGTTAAATCACAGTTCTGTGATCAAAAGCTTTCACACTATCAGTTGGTATAAGCCTGGAAAATGAGCAAGAAATGATTAGTTATTATTCTCCTTTAAAATAATGCTGGATGATAAATGTTATAATACACATTACCTGTATATTACCTATTAAAGTAGATTTAAATAAATATTTTTTGCAATATAACAAATTGAAAATACCCCTGCTTTAATTTACTTCAGCTTAAATGAATTGTTATTTTTATCAGGCAAAATATGTTTATAGTAGTTAGCAAAATTCAAAATATTTGAATGCCTTTCTCTGACCTTAGTATGTGTTATACAATATTCTCCTTGAACTTGCACTATGCACCTATAATGAACCCTTAAAATGTGTGTATGTATATACAAATGTATGCAGATATACATATGTACATATATACACATAATGTACACACACAAATACCAAGGCACTGGAAGGGTTAACACAAAATTAAGCTTTCTTCTGTTAAAATGTGCTCTAGTATAAACTACATTTTAATATGAATAAATCTAAATGCTTCTAAATCTAAATTAGATGAGAAATAGAGATTAAGTATTTTTCATTCATGAGCTTTCTCATTCAGGTAATCCAAGTTATAACCAATGACAGTAGCTAATATTTGTACTGTAAAAGAAAATGCTAAGTACTACCTGCTAACTAAGGAAAATCAGAATAATATTTTTAATAAGTGGCTGCTCCACTAACTTAGTTATGTAGTAATTTAGGCCTTTTTTGTATGAGTAGTATCAAAAATAAATGTAGTATTATCATAAATTTTAATTCATTATAATTTATAACATAAATTTAAAGATATTAAGAATATGTATTTGAAATATTTTAATATAATCTGTTGTTAGCATTTTATTATATATACATATGTATATATATATAAATATATGTATATGTATGTGTGTGTTTGTGTTGCACAAGGAGATATAAACCCATACATATCTCATTGTGCACCTTTTTCTTCTTCATACACATAAGCACAGGCTAGAATATTTTTATGATGTGACAAAAAAGATATTTATACTAATTTCCTTTTGTATTTTTAAAATGAAATGCTTTTAAAATCTGACATTAATTTTTAATAATTATATTACAATTACATAAAGGTTTAAACATTTTTTTTCTTTTGGCTAACTTGCCCACCTTATATTTCCTGTAGAGTAGCTTATCAGAATGTAGACACACAGAGGTTACCACAAGGTGGGACTCATTGAGAGACACAACTCTAGTTAGTAGCAGAGACTGTATGATGAGCTGGCTGCCAACAGCTTCACAGCCTAGGGTTGATGCCTCCCTCTATTTTTTCTCCATTAAAAACAATAGTGGTTTAGCAAGGCCTATCTTCGGTGGGCTTCTTATTTTAGAATGACTTTTGTGTTTGATGGATACATATTAAAAAGGAATTGTACAGTATTACCCTAATTATGAATATGTAATTAGTTTTGTGGTCAAAATAAATTATATTAATTGTTGCATTTTTCCAATATTCTTTTAACATGTCCTAAGCCCAACTTAACACTTGCACATGTATAATTATGAACCTTTAAAAAAAGTGATTCAGAATTTAAATCAGATGCAAAGTAAATTGATAATCTATGATTATAGAAATAATTGGATGCTAATTTTTTAATTATAATGGTAGTGCCTTTTTACAGATTATTTTTCATTCTTGAGTGATATTTTTTCTCCTATTTACAAAATATATCAAATCACCTTATTAGATATTTGGCCATTTTCACAAGGAAATATCCAATTTTGTCTTAGTTAGGAACATGTTAACAAGACAGCATTTTTTCCTTTTTTTTTTTAATAGGCAGATGGTTGTTTAAAAGCAGATCTCAGTACAGCTATAGTGAGGGACAGAAAACGTTTTTCACATTATACAAAAAGTTATGTAATATTGGAATCTTGTATGTATACACCCTCAACAAATGCTTCCAAATTTCCAACCTTTTCACATCTGGAATTCCTTAAAAAACATACCTAAATTAACTCACATTGTTTGGAGTCATATAATAAATTTTTATGACATGGTAAGAGAAATTTTTAATTTTATCTTCATATCTCTATTTTATCATAAAATATTACTAACATGAAAAAATTTAACTAGTATAATAGATTTGAGATCACTTTCTAGAAACATTTTAATTCAGAATTAGCTAGGGTTAGGATTATAAAGAATTGTTTCTCACACCAGAGTTGTTGATATTATGCTTTTCTACAAAAATGTTGAAGTCAGTCACTGAAAATTTATGAAACTTTACTTTGAAAATAAATTTTATTAGGTAAAATATAAATCTTCTTAAATGAAGGACAGAACAATATGTTCATGAATGTTTCCTTCATTCATAATTAAATTAACATTGGCAGTGAACAAAAGAGTTAATATAATGATCCAAGGAAGAAATAGTTCATTTCACATTGTGTCTACCATAGGTCAATATTATTATCCTTTGCAATTTTTAGGAATGCTTTAGAATAAGATAAACAAAATAAGAGTGTCAGTGTCAAATCATGAAATGAGAATACAAGGAGAAATCTACATCAGCAAATTAAAGTGTTTTTGTTTTTTCTTTGATGAGATATTTTGCATGCTAGTGTCCTTGTTGCCGTATGGTTTTTGCCTCCCTTAGGCCACTCATAGTACAATTATAAGACATCATTAATTCACAATCTGACCCAACATGTATTTTGCATACAAAATAATCTAAAATACAGAAATAACCATTTAATTGGTATTTTTATTTATAGATAGCTTACAATTTGTATATTATTTACATAATTCAAATCATTCATTCTTTTTTCTTCAATTTTAATGAAAGCAGTAAACTGGTACAAATCAACCGAAAGAGATCAAGCTGTTCTGTTCATTCAGCATTATTCACAGATGTCTTCCAAAATAGAAATGCTTTTGAGATTTCCTTATGACCTTTTCTTCCTGCTGAAATTTTATTTTGACTTCACTGTTGATTTGATGATATTGTTTCTCCAAGGTCTAAAATGATGAATCTCTTTACTCTATTTATATAGTCATGGTAAGTGGCAATACAAAGCTCAGTTATGTCAAGTTGTGTACTTTACTTTGCTTGTAGCAGCAGAACTGCCGGCAGCAGAAGCAGTAGCCTGACTGCCTAAAAAGAGAGGGTCCAAACAAGCTACTTTGGCAGCAAAGAATGAATGAATACAGTGAAGAACAGCAAATAGATTAGAAAATTCCAGCTCCTAAAAAAAGAGAAATAGGTCAGAAAAAATGTTTTTCTTTAAAAATTTGATATGTAGGCAAGTAGAGCATAGCTAAACATTTTTCACATGCAATAAACTTGACTATAATAAACCACTTCTAATGTTTGGCAACTGTAGGAATTTTTGTTCAATATGTAAATTTTATATATATTGTAGATTTACTTCAAAATATGGTGATCTAAGAGCTTGAAGCTCTAGGCATCCTTATCATTCATGAAAGTCATTTCAATATTGATAAATGATGCATAAAAATATATTTGACCAGATTAAAATTTTATGCTTGATAAAGTATAACTAAAGTGAACCATAAGAGTAGTTTAAAAAGTATTTTTATTTCTTTGTACAAACTTCAAATGATAAATTTGGGTTGGAATGATTTTAGAAAACATTACTCATTACTCTCTATAATAAGTTGCTATTTGGCATAGAAAATTGAATATGAATTACTGAAAAAAGAGATATAAATGTTCATGACATTAGGAGCCTGGGGGTTCAGTTTCAAAAAATAATACATTTTATTAATTTTTAATTTAAATAATGTTAATTGATTTACTTGGTTGTTTAAAATTGTTGTACTTTATTTTTGTTAAAATCTTGAGGTAATGTTAAGATAGGTTTTAAAAGCTTATGAAAATCCATAAAAATATAAACCATAAAATTATTAATTCAAAGAGAATGGAGAGAAACCAAATATATATATGTTTAATGAAATATATATAATAAACTTATAAAGAAAACAAGAGAGTAACAAACCATATGAAATTGCCGATGAAGCTAATGCTATATAATTACATATTTTTAATAAAAGCTACAAAATTATAATTGATGTTCATATTATTGTAGTTTTGTAATTTATAAGATGTGGAAATGGAAAATAATACAAATGGAAAAAAAATCATTTAGGACATATTTTAACGTCTTCATGTACCAGGGAACTATTTAAATAAAATAATTCACTTTGCAAATATTTTTTCTGTCCATGCCATAAGAGTGCAATATAGCACAATGTAGATTTATAGTTCTGTACAACATAGATAAAAGTAGCCATACTGTCTCAACAATTCCCTTTAGAACCAGTATTTCATAGAGAGTTTCCTGTGGCAAATATTGACTTATCCTAGAAAAGAGGAAATAGTTAACAATTCTAATGTCCTAAAATGTTTCCATGTAAAAATTATTTTAGTTATTCCATCATTATTTCATAAGTTTTTTTTAACAATAACTACTTCAGTGGTACTATGATATGTTATTAGTTATCTAACAGGTTTTCTTCTGCCTTAACTATATTCATCTCTTCATTCTTTGTGCAGTCATCATATTAGATGCAGCTGCAGATTTTGTTGCTTCCTGTGTTAACTCATATTAAATCCACCAGAAATTAAAAAATGGGAAAGTCTTGGAAAATATGAGATGTGCCTGTGTACAATTAAATAAATAAAACAACAACAAAAAAACCCCACACAATTCATTCTTGGTAAAAGGAAGAATATTGTTGCAACTTACAACTAGCAAAAATATAACACATAACTTTTCTTAAAACTAATTCTGCCACACTCTTAATAAATTGGATATTATATTGTGGTTATTAAAAACCGAATATCTAAATATAAAAAATTTTTGAAAGGGTTAAAATTTTCAGTTATTCACACCTTGTCAACTATATACCAATTATGTAATGTAGGTTGGTACTTTAAAATTTTTACACCTTTTCTCAGGGGAGCGAGTGACGGGCAAACATATATATTTAAAAGGGAAAGCAGGAGGCAGATATGTGTTCAAGTTTGGACCTTGATTCCAAAGTCAACTCATTTTTCCTCAGTCTCAGTGATCACCTTTGACAATTATATCTACTTCTTGAGTTTCAGTTATTAATTCTATAGAACTAATGAACTTCTTTTATTCTTTATAAAATGCGTTTTAGAACTTCATATTTATCTACCTATTGAGCATCCACAAATGATTTATTCCTAGTTATATTTACATCTAATAAAGCTCTTCTGATCCTCATGAATCTCACTAAGCGTAAGTTCTTTGCAAATTTAATCATTCACTCGTCAATAAATATTTGTTAATGCTTACTATGCAGATAGTGATTTTCTTGGTGAAATAATATAATAGTGAGCAAAATAGACAAAAAAATACAGATGGTACCTACATTCTGGTGGCAGGGGGAAAATTATAGTAATTAATAGTGATTCAGTAGAGGTCAAAGAAATAACACAGGCCAGAATTGGTGGTTCCATATGGGACTTTTATGATTTTTACTGTGAGTGAGATGGAAAACTGCTGGCGTTCTTTAGCAGAGAAGTGACAAATATTGATGTTAAGCCTTAAAATGATAATTTGGGCTATACTGTTGAGAATGAGCATTTTGTGAATAAGATTTTAAAAAGGCAGAGGAGGTTTAAAGATTTTCAATGAGAAAAGATGTAGTATTTAAAGTTAAGTAAAGATGATTCCAAGATCTATGTTTGAGCAACTGGAAGGAGAGAGTTATCATTTACTACAAAAGAGGGATGGAGGGAAACACAAGTTTGGCATAAAAGAGCAAGAACTTGGTTTTGGATATGTTGCATTTGAGAGCAAATTAGAATTGCAAGGGATAAGTATATAGTTGTACAGGTTAGTGTAAATTTAAGGGAATATTAGGGATGGGAATAAAAATTTAGGATCTGTCAGCATGTAGATGATAAGTAAGTCTCTTAGTGAGAAGATCAAGGTATAGAGAGTATGTAGAGAAAAGAACAAAGAACTAATTCCTGGGATCCTACAGTATAAAAATGTAGAAAATAAGAAGGAACCAGGAGAGAAAAGGGAGCAGTAGTTGCGAAGGAAGTGAGGGAGAGAAAACAGGATGTTTTCCAGAATGACAACTGAAAATTGACCATTAAATTTAACAACATGTCATTTTTATTCTTTACAGGAACAATTTTTATGGAGAAGTGGTAGGAGAAGAATTCATAAGGAATGGGTTCATGAGTACTTGGGTGGAAAGAAATTACAAAATAAGTATATATAGAAGGCCTTAAGAAGTTATTTTTTTCTCCAAATTGAACAGAAAAAATTGGTCAATAGGTAAAGTCAATAATGTTTTTCCAACAATTAAAAAATTAAGGAATATATATATTTTTATATAATATATATAAATTAAGGATATAAAATATATTTATATATGTACATATCTATACCTATATATTTTTATATAATATATATCAATTAAGGAATATAAAATATATTTTATATATTTTATAAATATACATATTTATATCTATATATATATATCTAACAGATATTAACAGAACTAAAGGGAGAAATAAACAGCAACATAATACTAGCAGGAGACTTTAATACCATACTTACATCATTGGATAGATCACCAGATAGAAAAATCAGTAAGGGAAGATGATCATCAGATAACACATTAGAGCAGATGAAGTTGACAGAAAGTTCTATTTAACTGACAGAATGTACATTCTTTTAAGGAACGCATAAAACACTCTCCAGGATAGGTTACATGTAGGTCATTAAGGAACTCAATAAATTTTAAAATTTGAAGTCATATCAAGCAATATTTTTGGCCACACAATGGTATAAAAATAGAAGTCAATTACAAGAAGAAAATTGAAAAATTTAGGTCTGGCTAGGTGGCTCTGTTGGTTGGACATTGTGCTGTACACCAAAGTGTTGCAGGTTGGATCCTTGGTCAGGGCACATACCTAATTTGTGGGTTCTATCCTCATCCAGTGTGTGTACAAGAGGCAAACAGTCAATGTTTCTTTCTCATATATCAATGTTTCTCATCCTCCCTCTCTCCCTTCCTCTCTCTCTAAAAATCAATAAACATATCCTTGGGTGAAGATTAGAAAAAATAATTGCAAATACTTAGAGATTAAACAACATGCTACTAAACAGGCAATGGTTAATTAAACAATGAAAAGAGAAATAATAAAATGCACTGAGACAATGAAAATGCAAATGTAACATACTAAAACTTATGGGATGCATCAAAAGCTGTATTTTTCCTCTATGAACTTCTAAGTGTGAAATTCATGGAGATAAATGCCTACTTCAAGAAATGAGAAAAATCACAAGTAAGTATCAAAAGAAATTTACAGTTCAAGGAATGGGAAAAACAAATGAAGTCTTAAATTAGGACAATAGAGTAAATAAAAATGAGTGGAAGTAACTGAAATAGCAACAAGAAAAACAGTAGAAAAAATTAATGAAATCAAGAACTAGTTCATTAAAAAGACAAACAAAATCAACCTCTGGCTAACCTCACCAGAAAAATGGGAGAATCGTATAAATAAAATTAGAAATAAAAGAGAAGACATTTTAACTGATATCACAGATAGACAAAGGATCATAAGTGATTTCTGCTAATAATTATATTCAAACAAATAGGACAACCTAGAAGAGGGGGGTGATAAGAATAGTATAGGAAAAGGAGTAGCCTAAGAACTTATATGCATGACCCTTGGACATGAACTAAGGGGGGATGGCAGCAGGGAAGGGGGGTACCAGGTGGAGGGGGGCAAGGGAAAAAAATTGGGACAACTGTATCAGCATAACAAATAAAATATACTTAAGAAAACAAATGGGACAACCTAGAAGAAATGGATAATTTCCTAGACTAAAACCTTCCAACAAAGGATCATAAAAAAATATAAAATCTGAACAGACTAATTACTAGTAAGAGATTAAATCAGTAATAAAAATAAAACCTTCCAACAAGCTAAAATGCAGTACCAGCCAGAATAACTGTTAAATTCTAGGAAACAATAACAATAATTAAAACAAACTCTAATCAAACCCTGCCTAAAAATAGAGGAGAAGGACTACTTTTAAACTCATTTTACAAGACAAGTATGACCCTGATAATAAAACATTATCCTGATTCCTTGACAAAGATTCCACATGGAAAGAAAATTACAGACCAATATACCTGATAAACATAGATGCAAACATCTTCAACAAAA